TATTAACATTAAATCATTTGAGCTTGTCTTGTAGGTAAACCTACATTGGAGTAATCTATAAATGTGTACACTCATGAAAATATAGGTTCCAAGACATGTAAGAAATAGGATAATTAGAACATCCAAATTAGTACTTCAAATGTTTCCGTAACATATCCATCGACAGCCTACCTGCTCTGGGATTCTGGCGGCTGGATGGCAGCTGCTTCGTTAGACTTTCTATTGTCCCAAAGATTCCCTAGAGAATCTTCTTGCTGGTTTTCTGTCCCATCCTGAATGCCCAGCGTGGGAGGATCTGTTTCCACCAAGCAGCTCTTGAAGTCGAAGGGGTTCCTCTTGGCCATGGAATCAAGGAAGCTGAATATCCTGATGCAGCTTTTTAGCTGTGCTGGGAAAAGCTCAGGTGAGCAAACAGCTGTATTTGAAAGCTCAACGAAGGATCGAGGTTTGTTAATCTGCGTAGGGGTTTGTCCCCACCTTTGTGCTGAAAAGCAGCCAAGCAGGCCAAGGTCCTCCGCCATCCTCTCAAAGAGAGCGTTCTTCTGGAAGAAGTCTGCATTGGCAGGGTCCAAGTAAAGAGCGGCCGCCGTGGTCTGGAGAATGCGCAGGATCAGCTCCAGCAGGTGGCTATGAGCAACGGAGGCCCAGACGCCCGAAGGCGGGTCCTGCAAGGCGCCTTCCATGTCAGCCAGAAGGGAAAACAGCCCATTGAAACCACTGCTGGTTCTGAAGGCAGAGCGGCCCTTGGGGTTCGCCAGGGTCTTCAAGAGAGACTAGCGTTGGGGGAAAGAAGGAAAGAAGAATCTGTCATTGCATACACAGAATGTGCAAAGTACAACAGCCAACTCCATAAGAAAACCGGTCTTGACTAAAGTCCTTCAAATGAAGAATTTGCTGTGCTAAAGACGGATCGTTTCCAGAAAGCCTTCACGGGTTCATGGGTTCAGCCTAGCCATTTTTTAATAACACGAGCACCAGGACAGGAAGGCAACCCTCTCTGGTCTCGGTTCCTGGAGGTTGGGCACCAGAAGCAGCTTCCCCCTGAAGGGGGAACCTCAAACAGGTTAAAAGAGGCGGCCGCCCCCCCCCCCCCGGCAGCAGCCACGCCCTACTGGGCTTCCTTGGGATCCTATGCATAGCAACAAGCACTCCAAATTGCACCTGAAAACCTATCGGCAACCGACGAACAAGAAGCCTCAGGTGCAACCTGGGCCTTTAAAATAGATCTCTCAGGACTGCCCTGGCTGGGACCCATCAAGCAGCCGACTGCTCCAGTGGCTTTACGGGCAGCCCCATATTGAATGCCCTGTAGTAGTCTAATTGCATGAGGGCAACGGCTTGAGTCACTATGCCGGGACATTTGGTCCATACAGTGTCAGACCACAAACTAGAGCTATCATGTCATAAGACAAAATGAATTATCCTTCCATCAGAAGGCATCTGGCAACACCTTTTTAGAGTAACACGTTTCACCAAAAGACATAATCTTTTGTGAACTACAGCTTACTTCATCAGAAGATTGCCTTTTGTGAACTTAGGAGGGTGTGACGTATATGTTTGCCTGTAAGGGGTTTTAATTTTTTAAAGATATATGATTTCAAAACTTCCTCCTATACATGCCGATCCTGCCTCTTCTTCCCCCTGGCCCTTGCCTTCCTCCTCCTCCTCCTCCTCCTCCTCCTCCTCCTCCTCTGAAATAGGGGGAGAGTGGCGTGCCAGAGACTCAAGGGGGAAGCTTAGTTACTGCCATTCAGTTTGCATGCTAATGTATCACACCAGGCAGTAACTCCTGAACAGGCATAAACCTAATAAACTGGACCTTGATGTATCAGAATGGCTTTGACACAATCTGGAGAGGTCAGTCGTAACCACATTTCTTCTGGCTCTAACTCTGTTACAATTTAATTGTCTATTCTTCTGGCTTTAATCTGTAACAGGCCTGCCTGGAGTGGAAATCCCTAACTAAGTTATAGCTAACAGAATTTATTTCTGCATGGCTTTCTTCGTTATTCCTCATAATTGCCCACCGCCTGCCGCTCTGGAACTCTCTAGCACTTGCACTTGGGGTTTAACAGCTAAATATAAATTAGCAAATCAATCTGAATTTGAACATAATGTAATCATGATCCCAAAGGCTACAGCTAGTAAATTCATTCTCTTATATTATGTATTAATATAGTTATAATTTGTCAGAATTAGGCATCAAAGCTGCATTAGTTTTTATATCAGTTCAGGCAAGCAGCAAACTTAGCCATAAGAAGAATTTTAGATTAGCTGTAGCTGTGGCAGATTTGTTCTCTTCACTGGACAGAGAGCATCCGGGGGGGGGAGGGGGGGGGGTTATCTCCTTCCACTCCCTCTAACAGGGAGGCTATAGTCTTCCCCCCCCCACCCGCAGCCTTCTAGGGGGGAAAAAAAGGAATATAAAGAATCAGGAGCGTACAAGAAAAATGTTAATCAGTGGGATTCAAATTATTCTGAGCAAAGATTCTGGAGGTTGAATTTCCTCCCAGAACTAATAATTCAGCAATAAGACATTCTGCATAGAAACTGTCTCTTTTTCACATTTCCTCAGGAAAGTAGACTTGCCATAATATGTCCAAATTATTTTCTACATCAGTAGCTATCATGGACTAGAAGCTGCATCAGTCTCCAGGTGGGTGAACTTACTTAAGGTAAGTTATTTTCACCAACCTGCTGGACGATAAGGCTCTTGAAAAATTCCTCTGAACAGGTGCTATTATCTTTATATAATTATATATATATATATAATTATAGGTTTATAGCAATAGCACTTATATACCGCCCCCTAGTGCTTTACAGCAGAGGTCCCCAACCTTTTGGGCACCAGGGACCGGTTCCGTGGAGAGAGATTTTTCTGCAGGTTTTGTGGGCTGCCTGCATCCCGTGGATGGGGCTTTGCTTCTTTGTGTGGACCAGCTGCTGGCATGCTGCGGCCCGGTACCGGTCCACGGACCAGGGATTGGGGACCCCTGCTTTACAGCACTCTCTGGAAGGTTTGCAATGCCAGCATCTTGCCCCCCCCCCCCAACAATCTGGGTCTTCATTTTACTGACCTAGGAAGGATGGAAGTCAACCTGGAGCCAGCCAGGATCAAACTCTTGGCTGTGCGCAGCAGTAGCCTGTAATGCTGCATTTTCGCCACTGCGCCACCGTGGCTCTTATCCCAAACATGGGAAGTTAAATCTGAACTTCTAAATAGTTTACTACTGTACTTGGTTAATTAATTCTGTTTTGCATTTTGCCTGACACACTTACCCTCTTCACAACCTAGTCAAATTGTCATTATAAACAACCATCTCTACGTTTAGCTTTTAGCGCAATGTGGCAATATAGAGTATTGTATTAAAAATCCGAGGTTCTACTGATCAGTTTCCAGTTTCCAGCTGCTGCCTTCCTATGGCTCCTGCCTTCGGTTTCCAAGCGTGTCCTGCCCAGGAAGAGACACGGCAGGTCACAGAACAAGGGGCCTCTTGACTAACGTCCTGTTCTTCCCTGTGGCCAAATGGATCCTGTGGAAATTGCACAAGGGGGTCATGGCCCCGAGAGCAGCCTCGTCCCCTTCTTCTCTAACACTTCGTATCTTGGAGGCCTCCCGATGATGGAAGACGGAAATGAAAATTGCCACACCGGCTAAATCTGCTCTCTCTACTCCAATCCTCATTCCCATCTTATTTTAAGCCTTCTTGGCCTTACAAAAGCACCAGACTGGGATTCTTGTGGATTGTATCCAAACCTTGGCTGTTCACGGGCCACTGAAAAGGATAATCGCTCTTAAGGGTCTTCTCTCCACCCACCCACCCACCCACCCCCAATCCCTTTAATGGACCATCGACCTACTTTAGATAGTTGCTGACCATTGCAGCAGCAGGGAAGCTTTTAGAGGCCAAGAAACGTATCCGACATCGGGCCCTGTCCTCAGGGGGAGCCAGGAACACAGATGCACATCGTTCACCGAGTTGGAAGATACCCGAGAAATCTCTCCCACTGCCCATCCCTGATCCCTGCAGGACCTACTAGAGATTTTAGAATGGGTGCCAGCCCAGCCTCTCTGGGAAGACATCACTTCACGAGGCAGCCTGTTCTGCTCTCGGACAGGACTTACTACCAGGTAATTCCTCCTAAGGGCGAATAGTATTTTCAGTTTTCGGTCAGTTTTAGGGGCCGGTGACACATTTCAGTGCATTATTTCCCTATGCGGCAAAGTAACTATATTTCCATAGTTTAGAATTTCCCTGTGATTCATGGCCTAGTAGAGGAACAAAGCCCAACCATTAATCTTTTTCAGATAAGATAGATCTGGCATTTACTATTCCTTACTTTAAGCAGATCCAACTTGAAGTGCAGTTCGCCCTGGGTAGCGGAGCAGAGAGCCCCAACAATGGAGCTCATGTACTCCTCAGGATTGACGATGGACAGTTGCTCCAGGATCTTCACGGCATCACTTCGGTACTGCTCATTATCCATGTAAATCTTGATGTAAGGCACCATGCCGTAGTCCCTGAGAATGACTGAGAAATCGCACATATAACTTGCTACTAAGCCATATTCCAAGCAGAATCTGAAGGATGGTCACTTAATGATATAAATGTGATGATTTCATAGATTATTTTATAATATATGACCAAGTTCACAGACCTGTTACTAGAATAATTAAATTTCATTGAGTAGTACAATGAATGCAACATTGTACCAAAAGAGTAAAGACCATGGTTTAAGTGAAACCTTAAGATATTTATTCTCCCACCCCTGAAAAATCGGTGTTGTTAACATGTGCCAAAATTGGTGCAGCCGCCTTCTCAACCTTTGGCTCTAAGTATTTCCTCCTTGGAGTAAGGCACTGTGGTTTATGCCACTGTGCAGATCACTGCGGCTATGGCCGCACTGTAAATACCTCTGGAGTATTTAGTTCTCGGGGGAGGGGGTCAGGGGGGGTGTTTCCTAAGAATTATTCTTTGTAGCCCATCTCTGCTTTCCTGTCTCCCCATCTGAATTCCTCCCACGGAAAGATGGGAAAGCATCTCTGAAGGGCGTCTGCCACAACCATTCTAATGTCCATGAAAAGGTTTTCAATCCTGTCCCCCTTTTAAGGTTTTTTTTTCTGATTAAGAAAGATAGGAAAATGTTGGAAAATGAAGAGAAAGATATAAATGGAGATAGAAACAGCATTGTATTATGTGGACTTTGTTTAGATTCCATGAAAAGAAAAAGTAATTGCCTCTGTTGAATTAGCCTAACCCAACATTTGCATGTAAGCACCTTAAAGCTTCTCTAAAAATTGTAAGATTTTTCTGAATCCATAGCCAGGTCCCAAAGTCCCTACACATGTTAGGAAATAATCCCCAGAAAGCAGTGTGGGAAAATGCTGCTTCTCTTTCTCTCCCACAGTCAGTTCTTATTTCTATGGAGAGTTGCCTGAATCATGAATCTTCCACAGACCGGCCCAGTGGCAAGACTAGGAAACCAAATCTCTGCCAGCTGATTGGACCATCCGCTCGCTTCAGGCTCAACAGAGGAAGCAACAGAGGATGAAGTCTCCTATGAACTAATCCCCTGCCACCCTCACCTGGTGGCCCATGAAGCTGGGCTGGTTCTTTTTCTTTTTCTCACCTGTGTTCCTAACAGATCCCACCACCAGAGCGGCCGTCATCTTCAGCATCATTTTGAGGAGTTCCTCCACTTCCGACACCTGAGGACCTGCTTGGATGCTTCCTGCATGACAAGAAACCAGATTGATTTCCTCATGAGTAGCGTTGTGTACGGATGGTTGTCCTTTCTACACATGGGAAATAAATTCTCAGAACGGCAGAGCTCACGTGGACCAGCTGTCTCAGAGATGAGGAGACGCCACAGCTTTGGAAGCTGGACAGTGTGGGGGAAAAAAGCGCCAGGATTTGGTTAAGGAGATTGGGGGTTGGGGGTGAGGTGAAGCTAAAATGGAACCTATTGGGGGGGGGGTGTGGGAAAATAACAGAAGTATGAGGAAAGTGTGGGGAGAAGGATCCAATGAAGCTCTGAGCAGATAGAATCTCAGATTAGCCCCCCCGACAGGAAGCTGCTTATGTGCTGTGAATGGTGGAGGGAAAGGAGAAGGAAACGAGAGTTTCTCTGAGCAAAAATTTTGTTCTCCTAAAAAAACCTGAAAAGATGTCAACTTCTGCGGGCACTAAAAGAAGGTCCAGCAGGAGGAAGCAGCACATCCTGTGGGACAGATGGCCCAGGCATGAGTTGCAGCTAAATCTGGGGTCCCTGAGGCAAACATAAATTTCAGAAGGGGCTACTAGAGACCACAAGCAACCCAGAGAAAGGGGTGGAGCTGATGTCAATCCATTCCCAGCCTGAAGAGTCTGGAAAAGATTTAGAAAAGCACATATATATATATAAAAAGATACCTTTCTTTATCAGTCTTTTGGCTTCTTTACGCAATTGAACAAGCAGCATTCCTAAAAGTCCTGAATCTCGGAAGATGTCCGTCAAGAGGGGGTCTCTCTGTGTGACGCTGTGGAGGCAGCCCAAGGCAAGCGAGGCGCATACGGGCTCGGCCTTCTCGTTGACCAAACACTGAACCTTCTTCAAGATCTCATGAGGGATATAAGACAGGTCCACCACCACCGACTCCACCAGCTGGAAGAACTGAACTTGGACCAGGAAGGGCTTGAGAGGGATGACCCCCACAAACTGGCAGATGGGCTGCAGAGACCACTCAAGCAGGAAGAAATTCATGGGGTCCCACATCCAGATGGATTTCAGTACAAGCAAAATGTACTGGCAGAGATTTGGGTTGTTGGATTTCTGAAAAAGCAGTTCTAGTACTTGAAAAGCTTTCAGGTTCCTTATTCTTTTTCCTGTGGAAACAATAATCCTATCAACAACTTTTAAATCATTGTTGCTCCCTTCCTTGTGCTAAATCTAGGAAAAGTATTATATTGCAGCTGTTTGTCTTAGTATAGATGTCTAGAGCAGAAAGCAAGGATCGTCTGTCTTCCACGAGGCCGTCCTGACGGCCATCTTTAATCTTCCCCAGGTGCACATCTTTTTCAAGGGGGCCTCATAGCGTCTCTCTTGTTCACCCTCTGGACATTTCCCCATCTGTCCATATTCTGTTTAAACACAGCATGAAGAAAAGTACTTTTGCACTTTACTATGAGCAATAGCCACAACCCTTAGAGTTATGCGCCGCTTCACAGGGCTTTACAGCCCTCTCTAAGCAGTTTACAGAGCCAGCCTATCTGGACCCAACAATCTGGGTTCTCATTTTACTGACCTCAGAAGGATGGAAGTCTGAGTCAACCATGGGCCGGTCAGAATCGAACTGCTGGCAGTGAGCAGTGGATTAGCCTGCAATGCTGCATTCTAACGAGTGCGCCCCCACAGCTCTTACATGTTCAATAAATACAACCTAGTTCTATAAGCTGTTATTCAATTGCACAATAATCTTTTAAAAAAAGAAGAATTTAATTGAATTTGGAAATCTTTAGTTAGAAGTATGTTTATACATGGTGGTACTGGTGACAGAGATAAAGGATATTTAATTTATATCCCATTTTTTTACTTTTATAAACATTCCAGGCAGAGTAATCATTTTTATTTATCACCACTTTTTAATAATAAAATAATGTCTGCTCAAGTCTATCCTAAAGCATTCAGCTTTTAATTTTCATTTTAGAATGAACAATGAAACCAGAAAAGGTAAATGCAATGTAAAATATTAATTCTCTTGAAACAAAATTATGTTGCATTTCTTGAATAGCCATATTTGTGGTCAGGAAGCCCACCAATACATGGCACTGTTTTAATACCTGCATTACTGGCCATTCCCCCCCCCCACTTCCATTTATTAGGCAAAATTTAAATCTTTGACATATTTTTATCATATGTGTGCATGCCATGGACTGAAATGTCATAACTCACTCCTATCTGAGTTACTTACCAGAAGAAACGGGCTGTTTCTCATCAAACTGTGGCAGTTGTGGATATACAACATTGCGTGAAACACTCAGTTCAGTTTCCCCACAAAGGGTCAGTTGTGTCACTAAGTCCAGCGTCTCCCTGATGCTGGCATTCTCTTTTTTGTCCAGTGGCCCTTCATATCTGGAAACACAACTGAAGAATTAATTGGCAGAAAAATCAGTTTGCATACAATTACAGAGCATAAAAATCATACAATAGCCAAATTGGAAGGGACCTCAGAGGTCTTCTAGTCCAACCCCCTGCTCAAGGCAGGAGACCCTTAGGGTTAGGGTTAGGTCACCATGAACTCGGAGAGCAAAATGGACATTGCCAACAAATTTGGAGTGCTTGGGGATGGTTAGGAGGGCACTGACTTTTCTAGGCTGCCCTATCTATGTTTCCTGGTAAAATACATGGAAAAATTGCATTGGAGGAAAATTCCACTACTATCCTAGTCAAATGGTTGTTCAATCTCTTTTTGAAAACCTCCAGTGATGGAGCATCCACAACCCCAGGAGGTAAACTATTCCATTTAGTGCTGCTTTAGGAAAGTTCATTGGAGGTGGGGGGGGGGACAGGAAAGTGTCAGTATGGGCACTGCTCAGCTGTAGCAAGGACTGAGCCTACAGTTGTTGATCTATTGATACTACGAATCGTTGTGTTCTTTTGTTCTGTCCTGAACGTGACACACATGCCTAGAAAAAGGTGCAAGCTTTGATTTATGTTTGCAAGACGTGTGGGATAAAGTTATATAAGTCTATCCCTGAAGAAAAATTGTCCAGCGTTAAAAGGGAAAGTCCATACAAGAAAACTGAATAATTTGCATTTTAGGTGCAACATGTTATTGTAGTCTTTGTCCAGAATGGTTTAACACCTCAATTCCATCACTGTAAAGAAATGTGCATTTACAAGGGTGCATGAACGTTAAAAAGTACTAGAAAGTATTTCCCCCCCCCTCAAAAAAAACAAAAAAACAGTAAGGCAAAAATCTGTCAGTGTCATATCTTGGCAGCCACTATGCTATCAATTGACTTGCCTTAAAAAAAAATCCAACAGCAGCTGGTGCCCTCCATTGTTCTCATACTCCAAAAGCAAGGCTGGGGAAATCGGGTAGGAATTCCTCACAAAATGCAGGATAATATTGATGGATTCACATACTTCCCAAGTAGGCAAGGAATCATCAAGTTCTGACAAATTGTGAATAGAAGTTTTGATGCAATCTGTAGATAGAAAGTATTGCATGTAAGAAGTAACCACCACATGTAAGATTATAATCATCCTCATCACTGTTGTGTAGAAATTTCTACTTATTCTTCTGGCACCATAATATTAATTTACGTTAAGCTTCATACATACCAAAATATAACCTACAACCTCTGAACTCCTGGAAAAAATAATGTTTCAATCAAGAAAGGATAAGTGTAAGAATATAACTAGAGCCTTACTGGATCCAGTCAAAGGGTCAGCGACCTGCTAGATTACTCAAATTGGATTATTCTAATCAGAACTCTATTAAAAGTTGGACAGCAGCACAAGTTTAAAGGAAAAATAATACCAACTGTCAACCAGCAAGAGAAGATGAACAGTCCTTGAAGAAAATGACCACCAAAACTGGCTACATTTTAGCTGATGGTTTTTTATTTATTTTTTAAAAGTCCTTTATCAATTCAAAGAGCAGAATACAAGGTGAACAGATAACCGAAGCAGCTTCCATAGGGAATATCGTCCAGCTGAGGAGTTTCCTCTGTGAATGAAAGTAACAGTCGCAAGCAAGAGGCACAGAAGATGTTTTGGACAGAAAATTTAGAAATAATCATCAGGGTCTTGCAGGTAAAACAGGACCTGCGCATTTAAGGAAAGAAAAAAACACATATTGCAAAACAGAGAGAGAGAAAGAGGACAGTGGATTGAAAGGAGAGAGGGAATGCAATTGTGCTCCACTAGTAAACAAAGAGTCATTATGGTAATTATGAAGAATCCAAACGAATGCGTCCTGACCAGCCCCCCCCCCCCAGCTCATTAAGCGTACCGTGTGCTTTGAGCCAAGGACCGGGAGCCCCACGGAGGCACACCCAAACTGAGGACGGGGGAAATTGGGGCCAGTTACCTTGCAGGTATGAAATTGTGGTCGTGGAAAGGGCCTCTGAAATCGTTCGGAGCACTTGGCTTACGGGCTGTTTCCACCCAGGGCTGCCTCGGTCCCAGAGAGAGGATCTTGCTATGATCAAAGATTTAAGATGACCAGACGTAAGAAGCATCTCCACTCCTTGTTTTTCTGCATAAATGTTGATCATTGTCTAAAAATAAACAAGAACAACAATACCACTATTTGATTCAAACAAAACTTGCCAAACAAATCCTGGATTTATTTATTTTTTTTAAAAAAAAAGAACAAAACTTCTGTTTCTAATCTGTTTATTTGTGGGTCAAGGCCCCTGAAGGCCCAGCTGTGGCCGCCCACCTGCACCAACATGTCCTGGGTCTTCCGTGGGCCCTGATGCTCCTCCCTGTCGCCAGGAGACGCCTCCGGGGAAGACACAAAGAAGAGGTGCAGGCACTGCAGCAACGTCGCAGGCAACCCAGACTTGATTATATTCCACCGGAGTTCCTGTTCCTGCCCCAAAGAAAATAAATACAATGTTTGGTCCTCATTTCAGAACTTGCCCAGAGAACATTTTTAGTGGGGGGGGGGGGAAAGGAAGACCGCTGAGAAAAGGGGTTTGCTGTGATTCTTCTAGGACTTGTTTATTGATCTCCTCTTGCAGCTTTTCCAAAGTTTGGTGTCCACCTACTTCTCTCTTCCCTCTTTGTTTCTGGGTTTCCTGTCCTGACTTATCTGAATTTTTTTTTAAAATTCCACCCCAGACTAGTAGCTTCTCATTCTCAGAGCTGCTGGCCTGAACTTGTTTGGTATTCTGAGTGTCTAAACATCCAAATCACCACTCATTATCCCAACAGGAATCCAATAAACTCTAGAATACAAAAATACACATTTATGTATGGGCAAAAAAAAAATAAAATCACATGCAGTGATCTTAAAAGTTTTGTACCTTCCTGGAAAGTGCTTAAACTGAAGTGACTTGCTGTTCATTGGGTTCTCTTATTCTCCAAAACAGACGGGACCATTGAAGCAATTTGGACAACTGGCATTTAAAGCTCCCCCATGGTGTGGAAATGCCCCTCCTCTCGACTCTCTGGCAGTCACCCAAAAGGCTCAGCTCTGCCCAGCCGAGGCAGCTGTGCCTTTGAGAGCACCTGCTGGTCTTCAAGGAGCTCTCAGCAACGAATGGAAGACAAGCTGCCACTCAGTTGGCAGAAAACTAAAATCCTGGCTTTTGCCCCCAGTCCCAAGAGTCATTTCTGGAGCATCGATGGCCATAAGACTGAGCAGGTCTCTTGTTTCAAACACCTGGGGAGTTAATCCTCCATTTGGCCAGCAGCAGGAAAGCCCCCAGAGACTTTGTTGTTGGAAATACACATCCTTAAATTCCCTAGGACAAAAGGTGGCCACGATATATCTGCAGGACTCAATGCCAAGCCAATAGTTTTGTTCTTCAGAACTGAAGAAGCTTCTTGGATTAGAAGCAAAAAAGTGACTTTTCAAGGAAAAAAGAAAAACAGCAAGAAAGTCCAGCTGCCTCTTGAAAAAGCGCCTTTGGGACAACCCTGACCTGGACGAGGACGGAGGATCTCCATAGACAACCCAGCACCTCCTTCTCCAGGGCCTGGAGCCTCCTCAATAGCCAGGACACACCGGTCAAATGGGCTGCTTTCAGTCTCTGCTACGACATGCAACGGTTGGCTGATTCTGCACCACAGCACTTAAAGTTTGTCGGGTGATGACCTGTGACTTAACGTAGACTTCATGGGCCTCTGGCTTCCCCTGTTCTGTGGGGCGAGGGAGACGGTCTTCCTCACCTGAGCCCTTATGCTCCCCTACACCCATCTAGCGCTCCCAGCAATCCTTTTGCATCCTTTTCGACTCTCGTTTTTTATATATTTGCCTTATGTTTCGATATATACATTTTTATATCTTCCCTTTTTCATAATGTTTTTAGACTCTGATGTAGATTCTACGCTTTTTAATTGACCACCCCACCCTCCCTATGCTGGTCTATCACCATAATAAAGGTTTGGTTTGATCCGAGTCCGAGGAGCGAACGCAGCATCCAGGCAGGTTTGGTGCCAACGTCTGAACCGCATGAATGCCCGAACCAGAGAGAATGTCTTTCTCTTACCGAGCTGTAGAGTGAAAGCAGGTAGGTTGATTTGAGCAGCAGGTAACCGTCAGAATCCAGCTCCCCCTTCCACTGCAGAAATTGCCACACAAGCAGTCCAGCGGCTTCTGTTCCTGTGACAGCCAAAGTTCACCCCGTGCAAGAAAGGAAGGAGAGGGTCAGCGGACGGCAGAGGTGCCAGGGAGGATGCACTCCAGACAAGCAGGAAATACAGCACGGCTGCAGAACATCGTTACTCTGCACATGCCCTGTAGAAATCCACACAACACAGGCTAGAAACAACTGCTGTATAAAGCGGCCACTAAATTGCAGCAGTTCTAGGAAAGCAGCCTAATTTCCAGGCTCCTTGCCAGCTCTGGATATTTTCCCTGCAGTCATACCTAGCACAGTATTAATCTTGCCCTGTTTTAGCTATTAGTCTGTGGCCGCTTACAATTTTTATAGAATCCTCCCATTCCGCATCCTCGTCATTCACTCCATCGTGCCTTAAAGAAGTGAACCGGCGTCCTGACCTGGCCTGGCCTGAACAGAACAGAGCTTAGAAAGACAAAGAGTTTTTAACGGTTGGCACAGATCTTTTCGGCAACAAGCTAAGTCAGAAAGCAGAGAGAAGGCTGCAGGTTAAATACGTGAAAGAGGCTCACCTGTTGGATTTCCATTCATTTTCTTCTTGATTTCTTTCACCAGAAAACTGGAAGTTTCACTCGCTAAAAGCGGGATATTTGGAAAATAGATACCGCCGTCTGACCGCTCCCAGGCCTAAATCAATTTTTTTTTAAATGTCAGAAAAAAAAAATGACATTCAATGCATTGACTGGGTAATTTCCCCTACCAGAATGATTTTTTTCAACTGACTGGTTTTTGTTCTTAGCTGGAAGCTTCTCACATTCAGGATTGTCCTTTTTTGAGGAATGTAGGATAACTACCATGCCTTTCTAAGAACTACTGCACCCCCGGCACCTTCCAGAATGGGCCTTCCTGGAGCCAGCCAGAGAAGCCAGCTAGCTCTTCCGAACTGGCATCTTCAGTTGGACAGCCCTACTACGCAGGACAGGCTCAGCGCCTGGATGGTCCCAGTGGCTGCTTCCCACCTCTCAGGGGCTTCCTCTCAGCTTAAAGGGAAGCTGAGGAGGCCCCGTCCTTCTCTGCAACCTTTGGAGATTTGTAGCTCACAAGGCGTTATGTCCATCAAGCCGCTTTGAACTAGTGGACAATAAAGAGAAAAGAGACGTGCAATTCCATTCTTCCACATATATTGGGTGTTGATTAAAATATGTCCTAACACTTACTTACTTTGTTATTTTCTAGGCCACTGACTCCCAATACAATTGCTGTTCTGGTCAGTTGTACTTTTATAGGTTGGTTTTTGGTTATGAGCCATCAGTATAGAAATACAATGGACTACAACGGAAAAATACCAAAGCTAAATCATCACAAATCAGGTCAAGGAAAAGGAGACTATTCTGAAATGATAGCAGTATGAGAATCCTCTGTGCTGTCATTTAGGCGCAGTGCTCTCTTAGGGGCATCCTGGATTTAAGGAACTTTGCTTAAAGCGCTTGTACAAAGAAGAACCTGGAAGGTAGTCAGCGATTGCTAGCAAAGCAGAGCTTAGGCCGATGGGGTTCACATTGCTGCCCCTCATTGCTAATTAGCAGCCACAGCTAAGCAACATTGCTGCATTCTGTAATGAACACTTAACAACAATCCCCCATTCACCTCCATCTGATCCGGGGCATCATTTGTACCAAAAATGCCTCGGTGGTGTTATGAAGCTGAGTTTGCATGATCCTCAACAACTTAGCTGCCATAATCATACCGTTATCCCAAAAACAATCTAACGGGAACAACTGATAAAAAATTAAGTTTATAATCAAATGTAGCTGACTCAAAAATCTGTGGTTTTCGGCTTCACCGCAGCAAAAGGTTGACACTTCCATAGCACAAATCACGGGTTAAGTAAATTTATGTCCCTTTACAGAGGCACATTCTGTTTAAGAAGTCTGAATGTTGCCCTTTTTAAAAAGTAAAGAAAAAAAAATAATGAAACACCAAAAGGTGGAAGGGAGAGACCCCAAGCATAGAGTGGAAACGAGAGGTACTTAAAGACATTCTGCAGCTTCCGCTTCCTCTCCTGGCTGAGCCTCTCCCAAGGCTCCTGGGGATGCCTCTGTGTGTGTCCTTGTCTCACCAAGCAGTTCCTAAACAATCCCCTGAATGCCGCTGACTCACAACCTGAAAACGGCCGCTGTTTCTGCATGGAAGTAGAGCGGAAGCACCTTCCCTGATACCTTTTCAGGTGGGCCATTTCCTTTCTTTTCTTTTCTTTTTCTATGGGTATCAGCTGGACTTCCTCCTATTGAAAATATCCAGTATATAATGTGAAATCCAACTAACCTTCAGAAAAGTGGTCAGAATGGAAAGCCATCGTCTCTGCTGTTCTTCTGCACTCAGGAAAAGAGCCGCCTCCATGTACTCCAAGACCTGCCGGTCCAGGGTCTCCGGTCGGAAGGGGAGCTGCTGGCACGGAGGCTCTTCGCTACGGTGTGACGGCTGCGCTTTGGCTGCTGCCCCTTTGCCTCCTTCGGGAAGGCTGGGATCCTGGCTCCCATGCTCCTCTGGTGAATCCACTTTCTCTTCCAGTGGTTTTGGAAGCTCTAGCACAGGTTCCATGCTTTGGCCAAACTGATCTGGAAGAAAATAGAACAAAAACATAGAATAACAGAATTGGAAGGGACCTTGGAGGTCTTCTAGTCCAGGGCTTTTCAACCAGTGGTACGGGTACCACCTGGGGTACATTGGCACCTGGCAGGTGGTACGTGACCATCCTAGAAAAGTGGTAGCGGGGGAGGGGAATGAGCTGAACCGCACAAGCCTGAGTGAGAGACGGCTGGAGCTGCAGGGCTGTCAGGGCTCAGCGGAAGCGCCAGGATGAATGCCGCTTTCCAGCTGATCGGCACTTCTTCGAGACTGTCAGGGCTCAGTGGAAGCGCCAGGATCAACGCCAGGCTCCAGCTGGAGCTCGGCGCTCATCCTGGTGCTTCTGCTGAGCCCTGAAGAAGCACCAATCAGCTGGAGCTCGGCACTGATCCTGGTGCTTCTGCTGAGCCCAGAAGAAGTGCCGATCAGCTGGAATGTTGCAGCATCCCCAGGATCTTGTGATTTACATTCAGATGCTTGGCAACTGATTCATATTTATGACGGTCACAGTGTCCCAGGGTCACGTGAAGTGACCAAAACCTGCTGCAACCAGCCAGCAGATGGGGGGGGAATAAAAACCAAACACCCCCCACCCCACCCCCGCTATATTTTTTTTTGGTCATCAAGTTTTTGACACCTTGCTAGGCGACTGGTGGTACTCGGATGTTGCCATATCCTAAAAGTGGTACAATGGGTGAAAAGGTTGAAAAGCCCTGATCTAGTCCAACCCCTTGCCCATGGCAGGAAAGCCTATACCATTCTGGATAACTGACCGTCACTCTCTTCTTGGAGACCTTCAGTGACGGAGAACCCACAACTTCTGGAGGCCAGCCGTTCCACTGGTTAATTGTTCTGTCAGGAAATTTCTTCTTAGTTCTAGGTTGGGCCTGTCTTTAATAATCTTCCAGCTTGCTTCCACCAGGTACTTTGGAGAGTAGGCCAACCCCTCTTCTCAGAGACAGCCCCGCAAGCAGTGAGAGACAGCTATCGTGACACCCCTAATCCTCCTCTTTAACAGGCTAGATTTACCTACTTCCCACAACTGGTCATCGTACAGTCTGGCCTCCAGAAGCCTAATCCTCTTTGCTGCTCTTTTCTGCAGTCTTTCTAGAGTCTCAACATCTTTTTTTTAATCATAGTGACCAAAACTGGACACAGTATTCCAAGTGTGTCCTCACCAGTGCAGTATAAAGCAATATCAACACTTCACATGATCTTCGTGTATCTAAGGCATTAAACTGCTTTCATTCCTAATTAAAACAAACTTTGGTGCTATCTAAACTCGGCAGTGGGCTGTTTCTGAGCAGGAAAGGGGCCCGGGAGGATGGGGAAGCAGCCGCACTGTGGCCATCTTTCAAAGGCCAAAGTTTCGGAGAGGGTTTCCCACAACATTCCTTTGCCTGGCATATAAAGATAATAACCGCATATAATAACTGAGGGCCTGTTTGGTGCAGAAGTTGAGGCGTCAGGCCAGAGACCGGATGACCATGAGTTCTGGTCCCATCTTGGGCACAAAGCCAATTGGGTGACTATGGGCCAGTCACTTTCTCTTGACCCCAGGCAGGAGGCAATGGCAAAACACTTCTGAAAAACTTTGCAATATATACTGTATATATATATTTAATACTTAGAAATAGCTCTGTTTCCATGAGTGTTTGCACCCACCCACTTGATAAGACTAGTTTCATTCTGAGCTAGTCCTGCATGGCCTTCCCCTTTCTTTGAGTTTCACAACACACATGAAAGGCATCATGTTTTCTTCACCATATATTCTTTTCCCAAGTCAAGTCTTAGTCTTTCACAGGCCCGACTCATCATCAGATAGGCCATGAATACCATTATGGCTTGATAAATCATGGTTTCCACCTAACAGATTTTAGTGCAACTGAGAAGAAGCAGAATCATATATCAGTATAGTCGAAGATTAATTTTATCACAGGCATGTTCTAAAGATCTTGCAGACCGGACTCCATCCATATAATAATAGTAATAGTAATAGTAATAGTAATAGTAATAGTAATAGTAATAGTAATAGTAATAAAGTTGGAAGGGACCTTGGAGGTCATCTAGTCCAACCCCCTGCTCAGGTAGGAAACCCTATACCATTTCAGACAAATGGCCTTGTCCAGCCTTCAGGTGCTTTGGAGAATGGGTGGACCTCCTGGTCTCTGTGACGGCCCCTCAAGTACTGGAAGGCTGCTATCATGTCCCCCCAATCCTTCTCATCATTAGACTAGAGACGTACCTAGTTCCCACAACCATTCATCCCACAGTTTAGCCTCCAGCCCCCCCCCCATCATCTCTGTTGCTCTTCTCCCACTCTTCCTGGGGCCTCCGCATCTTTTTTGTAGGGTGGAGACCAGCGCCAGGCAGAGGCCTGGGTGCAGTGTGGATGCAGGAGAGAGCGAGCGCGCTGGGCCCATCCGAGGTGCATTCCCACCGCTTTCTCACCAAGGCCCCCTCTCTCACAGAGAGGTTAAGCAGAGCACAACCACACACTTCCCTACTCCAGAGGCTTTGGCCACGCAGAAGGGGCACAGGTCCAAACACAGCCGGTTGGGCCAACAGCACCAGGGGTCTTCCCAACTCCACAGAACTTAACGATTTCAGCTCCTCCCAGATTAACAGCACAAAACCAGGCGTCTCGTTTTGCACAGCAGTACCAGCCTCTTTCCAAACCTTGGATTTGGAGGCAACTCTACAAGCGTTACAGAGACAGCAATTTCTGAAGACCCCCAAGGAGGGCAAATTCGGACATACCTGTGCAAGTTTTGTCCTGAGCTGGTTGCACGTCTAAGCAAGAAAAGGAAAGCGGCTTTTGACAACTTTCTCCCCCCCCCTTTACTCATTTGACTAGGCAGCCGCGCTTATTTCCTGGCGAAAGCAGAAGTTCAGGAGCGCAAATAGAATCAGAGCTGGGCTGGAGGTAGAAAAGGCCACGGGGGGGTGGGGGGGGCGTTATCTGGGCAGGATTTGCAGAACTGACCGCACCGAAACAGATGAGGGAGCCGAGAGCGGTGGCGCCCATCGAATGGGAAGCCCCCTTCATCTTTCTGACCGGGGTTTTCTTTCTTTCCCTTTGAAATGCTTCCTCCATTTGTTTACTGTGGCAGGGAGTTTCTCGGAGTTTCTCCGTTTCTGAAACTCACGGGAGACCTTGACAGTCCCATTTCTTTTCCTGGCAAAGAGGTCCGCCAACCCCCCTCGCCCCCCCGTCAGAATCCCCAACAGCCAGGGACTCCCTCTCCGCCTGAACGTTTATGTGGAGAATGTGTTTAACTGCCCATGCAACTGCCAGCTGGGCCAAGCAAATAATTCTTCCACCTTTAATGAAATGCAGAAGGGAGAAGAAGCGGAAAGGGGAGACCGGGTTTTGCACCACAAAATCTGCCCAAATAACAGGTCTGTTAGTTGCTGACTTCAGTATTGGCCACTTCTACCCATAGCACCTTGGAAGGTGGAGAAGTTTATCATCATCATTTTCTCACTAAAAGACTACTTTGCAGAGTGAAACTAATATATAGTTTTCTTTCTTTTTTTTAAAAAAAAGGTTTTATTGATCTTTTCATACAGTTCAAAAATACTTGTTCAACAAACGTGTTGTCTGAGTTTATCATTCACGAATACAAATTGGATTCCTAATCCCTTATTCTTTTCTCCAGCCATTGATAAAATAAGTCCCAAGTTTGAAAATATCCTGTTTCTTCTTTTTCTTTCAACTTCAAAGTAAGTCTGTACATTTTCGCAGTCTAGTATTTTTTAATTATTAATTAATATATAGTTTTCAATCAGCTGCTCTTCCTTCACCTGTTTGAATTTGCTCTCTTTCCCCATCTGATCCCTTTTCAAGGTATTTCTGTTAAAATAGTGGAAGTACAAATATATCGAAACCTAAGTTACAAACACTGGTTACATCATTCCCTCTTCGTAGAGAATGGCCTGAGTTAGGATATTCAGAATATAGCAATAGCACTTATATAGCACCCCATAGCGCTCTACGGCACTCTCTGAGAGGTTTACAAATGTCAGCATATTGCCCCCAACAATCTGGGTCCTCATTTTAACGACCTGGGAAGGATGGAAGGCTGAGTCAACCTTGAGTCTTGTTGGGATCGAACTCCTGGTAGTGGGCAGAATTTGATTACAATGCTGCATTCTAACCACTGCACCACCACGGCTCTTATTCAGTCTTCCAGTGCCACCCTCTGGACGTGAATTTTACCAACAGGCTGCGATCCAGCTCACCACCCTCTCAAGGGCGGCAATTCTCTTCCATAGGAAAAGCAGGAAGGCTGAGCCTCCCACAGCACCAGGGGATTCAGAATAAGGGGAGGGTGCGAGTTCCACCTGGAGGGTGGAGCTGGCTGAGCCATGCAGGAGAGGACTTGAGACTCTGGGATTCTTGCACCAGCCAGTAAAAGAAAGCAAGCAAAAGAAAGAAGAAGTCTATAATGATAGTGAAGAACTGAGTAGCATGGGGTGAGCTGAGCGTGAATAAGTGTAAATGCTAGTGGGAATTCCAAATTTTGAGTAAGACAGAAATTGTGGTGCAATTGGAGGATGACACAGTTATAGTAAAAAATGCCTCTAAACTTTGCCCCAGGCCTGCTGCTGGCATTCGAGCCTTCAAGGGGCCCAGTTTCACAATTAAAAAATTCTAGAAGTTCTTCCCCATTTAATTCAGTTGCAGAGGCTCTCAGGTCACAGTGAGTCACTCCGTTTCAGGCATCCATGGTGCTTCCACATGGCCTGCCAGTGTGTGTGTAGCAAGGGCTGGGTGACTCACCCTGGGTTTCCCAAGTCAGGCTTGTCCTGAAGCCCCCCCGCCTTCCTTGGTCAGGCGATCCTCACACCAACTAGTTCAGATGGGTAAATTCCCAAATGCTCCTATTTCCAAAGAGAGATAAAGGGGTGCCATCAAGTTGAAGGTCAGTGTAATGAAGTGCTTTGAGGGATTATGCCCAGATTTTGCAGATTGGACATCATGTAGCAGACTCTGCTAGGTAAGGAAAGATCAGGCCAATTCAGCTACTGTAAGATTTCTTTACAAAGCTCTCTTAATAGCAGCTCCGGCTTAGCCATATCCTCCCCGACATCATCAAGGAGAATTGGTCTCCTGGCCAGGCTGGAAGGCCTTAGTAGGCCAAAGAAGAAAAACAGACTCATTTGCTGGATGACCTCATAGGTCACTTTAGGCCTGGGCTGTAGGAAATGTAAGATTCCCATGAAGTATATTACTCTATGTATAAAATCTTTTCAAAACCCAATCTAACAGAATAAAGTTGCCCCAATTTATGGTGGTGTTGATCTTTATAGTTTTTTAAAAGTACTTTGAGAGTTAATTTGGTGTAGTGGTTAAGGCATCAGACTAGAAATCAGGAGACTCTCAGTTCTATTCCCATGTTGGGCATGAAGACTGCTGGGTGATCTTGGGCCAGTCACTTTTTCTCAGCCCTAGGAAGGAGGCAATGGCAATCATTTCTGAAAAACCTTGCCAAGAAAACATGTCCAGGCAGTCTTCAAAAAATGGACTTGATTGAGCAGAAGGGAATAAAAGTTACTTTGGTGGGTAAAACGTGCTAAAGCATACAAAAATTGCTATGTTTGCAGGAAGATCTCTTGGAAAATACACTAAAAACTTACCTTGGCAAATGTAAGTAAAATTGTTGCAAGTAGGTTGTGTGATGCTCTCTGCCGTGGCCAGAAACTTCTGCTTTCACAGGGAAAAAATGTAGATGTAGGGAGCATTCACAGCCTTCTCCCTTGGTTCAGTGAACAAACCTTAAAATCCCATTCTATTTTCACTTCTGCAAAAAATCTGCATGATCACAACTTTTGCAAAGCAGGAAATATAAACATGGAAGGGAGTGGAGGATTGTCCCCCACGAAGGTCTGCTCTATTCCTTCAGCTGGGCATCCCTTTCCCTTTCCCCTCCGGAAGGGTTCCCAGCCAGCAGGTGTCCTGCTCAGCCTGGGGGGAGAAGAGCCCACGAGGGCAGGAGGGCCTGAGGCTCCCCTCCCTGGGCGCACCTAGCCCGACAGCAAGGTGGCTTTCTGCCCGCTTGCCTCCACAGGTGTGTTTTTCTGCCTCCAACACACACACACACACACACACAGTCCGGGCCAAGCCTGGGCCTGTTAGCGAGCCATTCCCAGGCAGGTTGAGGGGCTCGAGGCCTCTCTCTCTCTCTCACACACACACACACACATACACAAACTCTCTCTCTCTCTCTCTCTCACACACACACACACATAATCTCTCACACACAAACTCTCTCTCACACACACTCTCTCTCTCTCTCTCTCTCTCTCTCTCACACACACACACACACACACACAGAGGGGGAAGGAGAGGAGGATGGTCTCTGGGGTGCCGGCAGATTAGGTAAAACGATGCGGAAGGAAGGAAGGAAGGAAGGAAGGAAGGAAAAGAGCTGTTTGTTTCTCTACTAATCCCAGACAGGTCAGTCTTGAAGGCCAAGTCATTCTTCTTGACTTCCGGCAAGACCATCCTGACATCTTGTGGCCAAGCGAGCTCATTACAACAAGCGTTTTATAGAAATTGAGAGGGAGTCTCTTCTGCATTAAAAAAAAAAGAAATCTGGATCGGGAAATGTTATATGGAAAGGAGATTTCGAAGGAAGCCTGACTTCAGCCTTCTTTCAGAAAGGATTGCTTAACTTTAATACTCACTAAGTTTCTATTTCATCCTTCTGCCAGCCCCGCAGGCTCCATCGGGCAACTCTGGAGGGAGCAGAAGATTGAACTACCGTAAGTCTCTGAGTAAAATCTCAGGAGGGCAAGAGGGCAAACACCGCATGGCACGAAGCCCTAACCTCCGTTAGCTTCAGAGCCCGTGGACAGCCTGGCCAAGGCCATCCCTGTAGGGACATTAAACATCCCCCCTCAGCAAAATGCCCCCTTTTAAATAAACTTGTTTATTGAAAAGTGACTTTTTAAGAAAAATCCCCAGCGGGAATGTTTTTATTTTCAATTAATCCATTTTTTCTCTCTAAAATTTATTTTGTTTCTTATTGCATTTCTGTGAGTCAGCTATTTTTTAAACTATCACGTCGAAGCAGTGGCAACTGGCAGCAGAGCTAGTAGCTGTGGAGCTTCAGGCTGGGCAGGAAACGGAGACAAGAGTTTTGCAGGTTAGTAAGAAACACCTCTGTAGGAGAAGCGATTGTATGTATGTTGATGTAGAGAAATGTACAATAAAGGGACCAAGTGGGCCTCGATTGGGTTTTGTACAATTATGGAACTGGATATTGGAATACGTAATTCAGCCCTAAACCGGGCATAGGCTAGTTATTTCATGGATTTGGCGATAAAGGTGCAAGGAATGTTTACTGACTGTGCGTTAGGGGTGTGTTGATTGAGGAAGTGAATTGGTCTGTATTTGTGTGTGCGCCTAAGAACCCAAATGATCTGTGGCAAATGTTAGGTTGTGTGATACAAGAGGCAGCTTGAATCTGAGATTAATCTATCAAAGACCAAGACAACTATTTTGGCACAGAAAATGGATAACCAATGCAGGTTATTGATAAACTGTAATGAGAGAAAATAGACTACTGTGACTTTAATGCAACTGTAATTACCCTGGTGCCACTGTAGCAGTAGCCCAACCTTAGCCACTTCTAGCTAAATGAACTTCAAATCCCAGAATTCCATAGCCAGCAGGGCTATTGATGAGGATTCTGGCAGTTGAAGTCCATACAGCTGGAAGTTGCCGAAGTAAGGGAAATAATTACTTAATGTTTACTAAAGAAAATAATGGATGGAGTAATTTTAAGGCATGCCACTTCAGGGAGGAAGTTAAGAGTAGTATATGGTCTTTTTCTGATAAATTAAAAGTTTGGAAGAAATGAAGACAGCTGTGGATAAATGGGCTTTTCCTCTTATACCACTTCCTGTTTTAATCTCATTCTTTTATTTCTTTAGCTGACTGTTTGTTACTCCTTTTCTGAGCCTTGTGTAATGCTGTGTACATCAAACTGGATAACATGACATCTGTGTATGTAACCATCAGGTCAAAACATGTCCCTTGATAGGAATCTACCAAATAAATTACAGAGAGGGATAATTAGCTTATTTTGAAATTTTAGCTTTCCCAGAATTAATGTACAAAAATATTAACACAGTTGGCCTCTGTGCCAGACTAGCAACTCCTCGTACAAGTCTCCACTACCCAACTTGTGTGGGATGCTGACCACTGTGGCCTCTTCCGATGTCAGGGCTCGGATGGGCAGGCTTTGGACCAGAGTCCTTGAGAGACGGTGCTGGGCTTGTGTGGAGTGATGCTGTTCCGGGTCCTGTGCTTGGAGCTGGTTCCTCTCATGTGAAGGAACCACCTGAATGGTTGGCTTTCCTCTTCCTGCTCTGATGACGGAATGATTATTATCGTAATTCCGGATACGGCTGTAAAAGACTGTGGCTTCTCTTGTGGGAGCCTCCTGCTCTCACTCCCATTAATGAAAGAGCTTCGTGATCTGGCTGTCTGGCAATTTGCTGCCATTATTCTCCTGCTTGAGCTTAACTGACTCAAGTGAGCAGCTGCTTCCTTGACAGCTTAAGCCCTGGAGCATCAACAAGGATAATTGGGAGGTGAGCAGTCGGAGTCCTTCCTTGGGTCCACGATGGAGATGCTTGTTGCAGCAACCAAGGGCTGTCGTAGATTTGCCATTAAATGCTACAGCAACCAGCTAATATGTGCACAGAGGGTTAATTAACTGCATTGATGAATACGCTTGACTTCTGGAATTAGATGGCGAACACCAGCATCCCTTGCATTAGTAATGCTGCAGCCCAAACAACAATTAAGACTTGCACTCATTGGAAATCCTCCAGCAGCCTTATGTATCAGAATTCTTGCTAGCACAGACCCCTTGCTCTTCCCCCTCATTTTTACCCCAATGTTGGAAAGTTGCAAAGAAGTGGGGCACGGCTGTTCCTCCATCCGTCCATCCACACACACCCCCACCCATTGGCAGAGAAAGACTCTGAAAACAGAACAGAATGAGAAGCTGGGAAAATAGAAAACGAGCCAGACCAGGCCAGAAAACCGTTCAGGGAAGAGCCAGGGAGGGGCAGATCTTCCTGGGCCCAATGCCAGCGACCTGGTTGTGCCCTTCCAGCCTGCATCTGACCCGCTGCCCTTGGGCCTTGGGCCGGCTCTGGGGCCCCTCGGCCTCTCTGCGGGGGAGGCCCCCGCCTCCATGAACCCGCGGCGATGTTTTCATCTGGATCCCGAACTGAAGGCGCGTCCGACTCCACCGCCCGAATGTCCGCCTCTCGGCCTCGGCCCTGTAACATCCCCGAGCCTCTTCCGCCGCTTCCCTTCGGCTCTCCACCGGGAAGGTTTGCTCGGTGCGGGGACCCTCCCTGCGCCTTACCCTGCAGCCGAACCAACGCGGGTCCTGCTGCTCTGGGCGCGCAGCTTCAGTCCTGAGCCCCGTGGGAAGGTCCGCGTGGGCCGGGCCGCGCTTCGCTCCTCAGGCACGAGCCGCCAGCGCCGCAGCCGGGCCCGGGCAGAAGCTTGGCGCTGGATAGCAGCTACCTGCGAGGCTTAAGCGCTGGCGGCGAAGCTCCCGGGAGGCCTGCGCGAAGGCCCGGCACCGCCGACCGACCGGCCCGCCCTTCGCTGGCTGCCAGGAGGAGGAGGAGGAGGAGGAGAGCGCCGGGCAAGACGCGGCCTGCCCAGGGGAGCTTCAGGCCTCCGGGGATCGTTCGACTAGTTGCGCGGCGGCTCCTCCTTGGCGCCGAGCGGGGCCGAGATGGGCGGCCACCAGCCCCCTCCGCAGCGAGGGACGCCGCCGCCGCCGCGCGCCCGATGCCCGGCTTCCCGCTCGGCCGCTGCGGCCCGCTCGCCTTGCCCGGCTTCTGCTGCCTTCCGGCCGCCTGCCCCGGCTCCACCTGCTGCGCCGCCCCGAGAGGTGAGAGCCGGCAGAGGGGCGCCGCCGGTGTCGGGGGCAGGGCTGGTCCCGCGCCCGCTCCGGCGGTTGGTCCCTGCCGGGCAGCTTTCTTCGGGGCGCTTTGGATTCCGCGCTTGGCCCGAGTGAAGCGGTGGGGCAAGGAGGGGGGGGGGGGCTGTCTCCGCGCAGCGACGGCTCATTTGATCCTGGGGGGGCGGGGGGGGCTCGTTTGGTTAGACTACTGCGCAAAGTTTGTGCGCTTCGGCTGTTGTTTCTGAGCACCCTGGGGCACTTTCATCAGCTGTGAGATTTCCCCCAGACTTGCATCGTGCATCGCGGCTCTATTTTGGAGAAACCCGGCTGTATACCAGAGCTGGGAAATGCGCCCCCATGAATTGCGTGAGAATCGGCTTCTCGGGTGCTGAACGCGTGCCGTTTTCTGGTGTCTGCTAGATGCCACTTAGCCATCTTACCCCGGGTCTCCTTGCGCAGGCCAGGAGTTTGGTGCAGCATAAAAGGAAATGGATGGCGTTGGGTTCCTCTTCCTTTCTGGAGGGACTGTTGGAGGGACACTTGCGAGCAGGCGGCCCTGAAAGGGGAGGGCAGCTCTCTCCCTTCCCCCGGGGTCGCCCAGCCAGGTGCCGAGTTGAGAGGGTTTCGAAGCCCTCCAGCTTGCCCTGGACGGGCTCGGGCCTGCTTTCTGCTCTGCTGAACAGGTCAGGAATCGAGTCCGCCTGGAGAGAAGACTTTTCACCCTAGCAACCAATCAGATTTGTCATGGGAGAGTTTTTCAGACTAGACAGAGAGATCTTTCCCTAAATCTTAAACCAAATATTGTGCAGAACGGACGCTCCGGAACGGGTGGTGGTGAAGCCAAATAAAACACCCAGCTGGTCTCTAAGGCCAGGATGGAAACTCCTGAATGTGCATAACAACACAGGTTTTGGGTAGTAAAGTTGATTTTTATTCCTTTTCTTTCCCCCCTAAGTCCTGGTGTTGATTTGTTTGAGAATGCTATGAGTCTCCATCCTCCCTTTCATCTTCATGGCATACAATGTCAAAGATTTCCCTCTAATTTTAAGAAACCATGCTAGATATGCAAATAATGTTTTCAAAATCAATCATATTGATTCTACAATCACAACAGTTTATTACAATTATACTCTTCAGAACAAAGCTGGACTTTGTTTTCATTTGCAAAGAAAAGGCCCACCACAACACCTTCCTCTTTTGAAGTCATAGAATCCTAAGGATTCTGGAAGGGACCCTGGAGGTCTTTCTTCTAATCCAGTCCCAACCCCATGCCTGAGTCAGGAGACCTTGCACCATCCCGGGCAAATGACTGTCCAATCTTTTCTTGAAATGTTGTATCCTTCCCTGTTTTTCAGAGTATCTGGTTCATGCTTTTGTTTGTTGTCATAATTAAAGTAGAATGTGGCACGCTCACATAGTACACTAACCCAGGATACCCATGATTTACTGAACTAACCCCAAGTTAGTTGGGTTTATACAATGCCATAAATGAATTGCACCGGCTGGCTTCACAGAACAGCCCAGCTGATTACACTTTTGCTGAGCGTGTGGCACAAACCCATCACCAACTGGGTAGAGGTTTCCCAGAAAATACAACAGGAAAAAGAAAAGTCTAGACCCCTAGAGTTGGACCTATGTAACCCTAAATAAAATTATGTTTTGCAAATTATCTGAATATTTACTTTCTTAAAGAAGAAAATGATTGTTTGTGACTCAGGTATAGGAATAGCAGAAACCTCTTCAAAAGCAACCACCAAAAATATCGGTGTGCAAAAAAATTTCATATGTTACACCAAAAGTCCCGGAAAGTTTTAAGGAGATAATTTCTTCAAAACATGCTGGGATTTTTAGCATATTAAAGAATACATTTTTATTACACCCTTTTCTATTTTCCACCTATTTGGTTGTTGTGTGTATGTCCCTAAGCAGGACATGTAATGGGTAAATAATATGTATTGGTTTATTGTTTAGACAGAACATTTATGTGGCCAGCCAACTCAAACAACATAACTCTGGGTGGTAATCACTAAACACAATGTGCCACCTAACATTACTGAAACAAAACGGAAGAATTAAAGGGCAATTGGAACCTGAACATCTTTCTGCCCATCCTTTCCCAAGTCTCAGGGGAAGGCTGAGCCTTCGGCTGCCTCCCCAAAGGAGCTGCGTGCAGACCGACTCAAGTGCAAAGGGCACCTGCCTTCCGTTTCTCCTTTGTTTCGTGCTGGGGGCCCTCCTGGACTCCATATCCCCTCCCACGTGTAGAGCTGTGGCTGATCCAGGGCAACGGTTGCTTCCTCTCATTGGCAGGGATTTTTGGTCAGCGCTTGGAAGACACAGTCTGCTACGAAAAGAAGTTTGGGCAGCACCTGGTGCCCCTTCTGGTGGAACAATGTGTGGACTTCCTCCGGGCGCGTGGCCTCACCGAGGAAGGGCTGTTCCGCCTGCCTGGGCAGGCCAATCTGGTCAAGGACCTCCAGGACTCCTTTGACAGCAGGAAGAAGCCCCAGTTTGACAGGTACGCTCGTCACTGGCCAAGGAACAGCCGAGGGAGCTGCAAGGCCCTCGCCGGACTAGAGGACCAACTCTGCCCTGCTTGGAACTGCAGGGTGACTGTTTTATTTGCTTAGGGGTGTTATGAGATCCTCCCAAGCGGTGTCCCAGGGTGGTAGAAGATTAAAAGAGTGAAACAATATGGCAATAAAACAAGTATCGAACCATACAGAATCTTAGTTTATTATGGTGCCGTGCAGATGCTTTAGATGGCATCTCTCATCTCTTTTAGTCACAGTGGCCACTGAACATGCCAATTGGGGGTTACCTTCTACCAGACAGATATTCTCCAAGATGTCATGTTCTAACTAGGTAACATCATCGGTGCTAGTAAGGAGTGGGGTTTGCTCTCAGTTGATGTTCTAGTGGCTTGCCCTGGGGCTGTCCTAGAGGAACCTATGAAGAACAGTTGCAGGAAATGGGTCTGGCCAGTCTAGAGAAAAGAAGGACTGAGAGGTGACATGATAGCCACTCTTCCGGTATTTGAGGGGCTGCCACAAAGAGGAGGGAATCAACCTATTCTCTAAAGCACCAGAAGGCAAAACAAGAGATAATGGATGGAAACTAATCAAGGAGACAAGGAACCTGGAATTAAGGAGAAACCTCCTAACAGTGAGGACAATTAACCAGTGGAAAACAAGTTGCCTCCAGAAGTTGCGGGTGCTCCATCACTGGAGGTTTTTAAGAAGAGGCTAGACAGCGACCTGCCTGAAGTGGTACAGGCCGGTCTCCTGCTTGGGCAGAGGATTAGAAGACCTCCAAGGTCCCTTCCAGCTCTATTCTGATTGAAGTCCTTTGTACTGTTGGCTTTTTTGGCAGTTCCTTGATTAGGGTATTGTTTACTTGATTGTTGGTCTGATGTTAATCTTGGGAGTTAATCAATCCATGCTTGTCTATGTGCTCATTGCTGGTAGGGATTGCTGTCTCTTGTGCACAGTATCTAGATGTTGTTTATGTCTAAGTGTCTACTGATGGCTAATTTGTCAGAGTGCCAGGATTCTAGAAAATGTAGAAAAAGAATAGCAATATTTTTAAAGAAAACTCAAAATTCCTTACCTGCTCCATCTTTAAATAGTTGTGGAGTCAAAAGTCACAGTGAAAACTGGTTTTTCAGGATTAAAGCCATATCCCTAGAGAACATTGCAAAATCAGAACTGAAGATAAACCACTTGGAAGACACAATCACAGCTGGAAGTCAATATGAGTCAACAAAAGGAAGGAAAATAGCATCAGGAGAATAAATTCAAAAAGGTATTTTGTACTGGGCTGAGTTATCCAGAATTATATTAATGTACACAACTAAGTGCAGCTTCTGAGTGGTCTTTAAAAACAGCCCTAGGCAAAGTGCATTGCCACGATCTGCCTGGGTGGCACTGAGGCCAAGAGTGAAGACAGCGAGCGAGGTTTTCCTGCGTCAAACAAGGCTGCAACTACTGCACCAGTTGGAGGCAGGCAAAGGGCCACCAGATATGGTTCCACCTGCTGCTGCTGCTGCACCGGCAGACTAGGTCAGCCTAGAAGGATGCCCATGTTCCCCTCCTTTCTCCCCCCCCCCAGGTGGTGAACTTCCTCTTTCAGGATAATGCCTGCCAGCCATAAATAATATTGATGTGAGAACTGTGATGGAGAAACAGTCGCTCCATCTTGTCTAGGTTCAGTTTCAGACCTTTGGGTCCCATCTGGTCCAGACCCCGACAGCCTCAGAGGACGGTGAAATAACATCATACCTCATTGTACTGAGGTAGCAACAGAGAATTGGGTGTCCCTCGAACGGTGGCAAGTCCTCACCCAGCAGCTTGGCCCGGATCTTAAACAGCAAACAAGAGAGGGCAAACTTTTCTTTCGTGCAATTCAAGGGCCACAGGGCATCCCTTGCTGCCATGGACAGGACCCGTCCACCCACTGGAAGGAGCAGATCGACAGCAAAACTGCACCTCCAATTCCAGCTGCATAAGCTGCTTGTGTGATAAGACACCCTCAATGCTGAGTTGGTTGGTTGCCAAAACTGGCTTTTTAAACTATTCTACGGGCATAACAGAATAGCAGGATTGGAAGGGGTCTTGGAGGTCTTCTAGTCCAACCCCCTGCTCAAGCAGGAGAAGGAATGATGAATGAATTAGGGACTGCGACAATTAGCATCTGCTTTTACTAACTTGGGAGAGGCGTAGTACAGTATTCCAGCATAGGTTGCCTGTTGGCATTCAAGGCAAGATAACCTTTTGAAGCAGCGTCACTGTGTAGCAGATCCTGAGTGCTGCTCGTAACTGGGTTGGAAGGCCACGGCCTGAAAGAGGGAGCGCGTTCGATTCCTGCCACTTCTGTTTCCCGTATCTCACCTTTGCTGTGTCTCATTCTGTCGATGGGGAAATCCCACTTCAGTGTCCCATCCCCAGAGAGGGATGAAGGGTGGGAGCTGCCTGTGCACCTGCCTGGCCCCTAACTAGCGTTCCTGTCCTCATTCTGGCTGCTCAGCAAAGGTTTTTGTTTTTGTTTTAAATCAATGAAGTCTGAAGCCCATCAGCCGTCCCGTCTGTACCCAGGGCAGCAGTTTCTCTGCCTGCTGCCGAACCCCCTTCTGGGCCTTTCTTGCAGAAACACCGATGTCCACGCAGTCGCCTCCCTCCTGAAGCGATACCTTCGAGAGCTTCCCGAGCCCGTCATTCCTTTCGCGAATTACGAAGACTTTCTCTCCTGCGGCCAGTTGCTTTCCAAGGATGAAGGCGAGGTCAGTGGATTCGGCACAAGTAACTATCCAAAGGAAGAGCCGCTGCATGAAATGGACCAGGGGAGTCGGGATGGTGGGAGGGATGCAGGCCGTGCCTTGCACCTGGCCTCCCGCGGCCTCCAGGAGGGGAGGAGGAGGAGGAGGAGGAAGACGTTGAGGCGGCAGCACCAGGACCACCACCGGAAGACTGGGGGGGGAGGAGGAGGAGAGCCGGCTAGAGGCACGCAGAGTCTCAAACTCCTTTGGGCCCCTTCAGTGTATAAGGGATGAAAGGAGCCGAGTCATTATGTTCACTCATTAGTCTTGCATTTGAGATTGGAGGTCAAAACAAGTCGTGTTCCAGTTCATATCAGGAAAAGTTACATCTGACTGAGTTCTTGGATGAAAGATTACAGGGAATCCTAGGGGTGTAGCTACTCTGGAAAATAATCTTTAATAAATCCTAAAATAAGACAGTGGCAAACCATTCCTGTAGTGCTGACAAAAAAGGAAAAAAATAACAAATTGGAATCACTAGGAATCAAACTCAGCCTAAAGGTTTCTCCAGCTTTACTAGTTTAAACTGGCAGTTATAAATATCTATTAATTTATAAGCTTTTGAAATGTGATTTTTTAAAACTTTCATAAAAATGAGTTTTATGTTGACAATGAATTAGGCCCATCTATATCCTGCTTTTTGGGTGTGAAAATTTCACAAAGCAAAAGCTTTCCTCCTCGTTTTAGCCTTTCCCTTCTTTATGCCGCAGGCTTTCCCCCCATCATCGCTGACACGGCAGGTGGGGTTGGTGTTTCCAAAAAGATCTCAACGGATTGAAAAGGGGGAAAGTCTCAGCCTTTGGGGCCCAGAAGGAGGTCCTGGATTCAGGCTGCAGGCTCAGAGGTTCAGGCCAAGGGCTGAGGCCTTGGAGTGAAGAGGGCTGCCATGGGGGCCTCAACACACACACACACACAGAGAGAGAGGAGAGAGAGAGAATCAGCTAAATTTTGCTTAGCTATTACGTGAAAAGTGGCACCTGCTGTTCCTATTTATGTGATCCCTCAGGGAACTCGGGAACTGACCAAACAAGTGGGCTGCCTTCCTCAGGCCAACTACAACCTCCTCAAGTTCATCTGCAGGTGAGTCCAGTCCCAAGAGCAGGGAAGGGGATCCAGGTTGGCCGGGCCAGGTGCAGGTAAGGAACACCCCACCCCACCCCACCCCGCTTCTGTTTTATTCAGAATTGTTGGGTGGTGAGGCAGCTGTCAGAGGACTGTGGTGTTTGCATATCTGCCAGAAAAGACTTCGGGGCTCTTTAGGGAGAGAAATAAAAGGCACCTTCAGCACAAGTTTATCCGTTTCACATTTGTGATCTGCAAACAGGTTTCTTGAACTCTGCATTCGCCACCATCTCCGTTCGGGAAGACAAACGTGCGACTGTCTCCATAACAGATCTGGCCAGGAATGATATGAAGCTCATGATTTAACAAATATTTTATGGAAAATGCCTAGTATTATAAACTGTCTTAAGTTTTAAAATTGATTAGAAAAGATTCCTTTGACTGTGGATAAAGCTAATTGACATAAACCCAAACCCTAACCCAGAATGAATATTTAATTCTCATTACTGAGGTATGGGTTCAAACAGGGAAGTGGAACCGTATGAAATAGTAGATTTTATGTAGTGATAGTGTTGACAGCCAGTTTGGTGCAGTGAAGGCATCAGGCTAGAAACTGGGAGTTCTAGCCCCACTTTATGCACGAGGCCAGCTAGGTGACCTTGGGCCTTTTCCTCTCTCTCAGCCCCTGGAGGAGGAGGAGGAGGAGGAGGAGGTGGTGGTGGTGGTGGTGGTGGAGGAGGAGGAGGAGATGGCAAACCACTTCTGAAAATGGTGCCAAGAAAATTGCATGGACTTGTCCAGGCAGTAATCAGAAGTCAGGACTGACTCAGAGACAGAAAATAAAAGTGTCAACTGTAATTTTTCTGGAGCTGCATAGGAGTGTGAGTAATAGCATATGCAAGCAGGGCCAGATGTGGTTGAACAGAGATTTTAAACAAATGAAACCCAGATGTGGGCTGGGTCCCAATCTGGATCAGGGCTCATGTGTGCAAGTCAGGGAATCTTAAACCTTTTCCTGCAGCATTTCCAAATCCCACCCCCAGTAACCCCGCCCTGCTTACCGATTAACCCCCACCCACCCCCCACCCCCCAAAAAAGAGGCACCTCCAGAGGCCGGGCTGAGCCTGTTGTCCAAACTAAGCATCCATCCGTGTGGGTAGCTTGGCCCATGTGAGGCATGATAGTAAGGTTGGAAATCTTGGTCTTTGCCACTGAAAATTTCCGATGATTATTAATAAAGTTTTCATTGATATTTTGGCGGGGGCCTTTCAAGGTTTCTCCATGAAGTTCAGTCTTACGCCAGCCATAACAAGATGAGCGTCCAGAACCTTGCCACGGTGTTTGGGCCAAACATTCTTCGGCCTCAGATGGAAGACCCTGTGACTCAAATGGAAGGTGGGTACCCCGTGTCCCGAGGACAGCAGTCCAGCCCCAGGGGCTGCACATTCAGCTACCCGTACTTGAGAAGAGCTGAACTTGGAATACCAGAAGTGTACAAAGGAATAGACCGCAAAAACCCCCAAAATGTGTGTTCAGCTGATAAGTGGATGATTTGACTCAATAAAATGGTGACTTGCCTTTGAGGGGTACCAAGCTGCGTGGACTGTCTCTAATTCAAATCTTCAGATTTGATTTAGATTTTCAGTTTGATCTAATATGAAAAGTTGAATTCATTCAGGAAATATACTATTTTGCAAATAATGTGACTCAATTTTTTTTTGTATCTTTGAGTGTATTGAGAGGCATTCAGTTTTCTGATTTAACTCAAGTTGTCACATAGTCCTAGAAGGAAAATGTATATATAATGATTCTCTCTTCGAATACCAAACAAGACATCTGATGAGTACTTACCCAAAGGAATACATGCCTTTATGAATTTGAGACTCCTTAAGGTGTCACGGCACTCTTGGTTGTGTTTATTTAACATCCCACTTCAGAAAGTCTTCTGAGTTTTTTTCTCTGTAAGATCCTTTCAGGTCCTTCAAAAGAGAGCTGCCATATTCCCTGCTTACTCTTTTTTTTCCCCTCAAGTTGAAATGAATCATCTCTTTATTTTCTTCTCGTAAATCTCAGTTTCTGATTCCTTGATCATCTTTGCTAACCATTCTCTGAACTTGTCCGTCTTTGGCTGAATCCCTCTTGAATTGTGGTATCTGGAGCTGAACTCACCACTCAAGATGCTCACCCACAGAAAAGGAAAAGATATCAGATCTCCCACCCGATTCTGTGTCATCTACAAATCAGATTAGCATTCCCTCCAGCTCTTTCTCATTTAAATCCTTAAATGAAAATGATGAGTTCAGATCCAGCACCGATCCCTGCCACACCCCACTTGAATATCAGTTTATTGTTATGGCCACCCATTTAACTCACTAGTTCATCAGAAGGGCACGGAATGCTTGGTTTTCAAGGAAATAGGAATCCCTTGATACTGAATGCCTTCATGTTGAGTAAATGTCCTTCTCTGCAAAACAAATTGACCTAATGTGATTGTCTGAATGCTCATTTCACAGGTACTTCGCTGGTTCAGGGCTTAATGGCTATTTTGATAAGCGAGCATGGGAAAATCTTTGATCCCACCCTGACTCAGGATTCACTTCAGCCGGAAGCCGATCTCCAGTGTCCACCTAGTTGGGTAGACGGGAACTTGCCGAGTGGCCGGACAGAAAACAGCCTTTGCAGCCGTCTTGGCTCGCTTCCAGCTCTCAGGCCTTCTGCAGCTAAGCCTTGCATGCAAGACTGCAACCAGAGAGAGAACAGCAGCCAGCCGCCCATCAGCCCCAGCCCCAGGAAGCAAGGCTTGTCCCCTTGGAAAGGCTCCCCTCTGGGGCAGCAGGGAGCTGGGTCGTTCCACCACCCACCGGGAAGCTCCTTCTTGGAAAGCTACTGCTCATCCTCATGGGAGAACCGGCTGCTGGTGGATGGACGGTCAGCTGTCCAAGGCCACTGTGGAGGACAAGGCAAAGGTTCCAATTCATGCCAAAGGCTCTCCATCTATGACAATGTCCCCGTCCTTCATCTCTCCGAGGGTGTTTGCAGCAACAACAGCCCCAGCGGCTCCATTTCCTCCAGTGGTCTGTCTCTCACAGTGGATCCTGTCGCCCCCTGTGCCACCTGCCAGACGGGAGCCTGCCTGGCCTTGAACCCTCTTCCGAAGGAACACCCTCCTGGCGGCCCCTTGCCACAGGGCAACGTCCCTCTGGAGAGCAGCGGTGGGGAGCCAGAAGCGTGCTGCAGCAGCAGAGGCAGGGACGAATGGAATCTGTCCTTCGCTTCTAGAGACGCCATTCAGTGCTCCGAAGCCCTGCACGATCTCATCGCAGAACTGAAGGCGGAGCTACGAAAACAAAGATCTGAATATAACACCACTTTTAAGAGGTATGCAAGGCCACAAGGCAAGGAAAGAGAGGCAGGAACCAAGGCAGTTGGTTATGCAAGAAAGGCTGAGAATAAAAGGCAAAAATGCTTCCTTTCCGTAGCTGCCTGGCCAGTGATGCTAGGAACCGTGGTACACAATGCACATATTCCTATAGAGACCCTTTGCCCTTCTTCATAAAATCTTACTGCTCACCTTCCATTATCTTGTAATCCTGACCTGAATTGTGAGGGGACCAAGACATTAACTTTCACAAACATCCTCAGGGATGTGTATTTTGGGTGGGTGGGTGGGTGGGTAATAATCTTGATAAAGTATGGCATCATTAGGAGGGCCTTTCGTATTACCCTCACAACAATCTGCGAATCTTCCAAACCCTGCAGTTTTCTGTCACCAGAGTTATGGGCAGAGGGGGCCTCCATGGTCAGGAGAGGAAGTGGTCAAGGGCAGCAGGTGGCCTCTGCAAGCCAAGGGCCACCAGCAAGCAAAGTGGTCAAGGGGGTGGCTAAAGGAAATGAACGGTGGCAAAAAAAAATAAATCTTAACATCTCTTCAAACCAAAGTTGGCTATAACTATGGAGACTTTCTCAGGCATTCTGGTGACACAACTGTTCAAAATGCATCTGCTCTATGCAATTAACTCGTGCTCTCTCTTCGCTTTAAGAATGGAAGAAGCAAGCGCAGAATTGAGGAAGCTGGCGACAAGACTGGAAGGAGAGCTAGTCAAACAGAAAAAGAAGCAGACGGTGCTGGAAAAGAAGCTGAGGAACTCTGAGCAGGCAAGGAAAGACGCAGAGGAGAGAAATCACCTCCTGCAAGAAGAGATGGCGTATTTCTTCACCACCCTGGGCAATATCACCGCAGGAAGTCAGTGGGGCAAAGCCTGAAGGTGCTGGATGCCCTCCTCTGCACTCTTTCCCAGCCAAGCAGTTTTGCCCTGGTCTGCCCCCCCCCCTCTCTCTCTCCCTCCCTCTCTCTCATGCACATATGAAGGTGCAAACCTACTTTGCCACCTTACTCATGCACTGACATCTCAGTTGTTGGTCTAAATGGAAAATCAGAGATTGGTGAGGAAAAGGTAAAAGGATTTCACTCACAGCATGACTGCTTTGCGAAATCCAGCATATAGAATACATAATGGCAAAGACACTGGAAGAATAGTACTTAGCTGATCTACAAAATTAGAATTACTTTTGTTGCCTTTTTAATGCTCTCCTTTTATGGAAGGATTTGCTAGAACTGTCAATGTTGCCCCTCTGCACCCTCCACAGCGTGCCTTTCACTTACAGACTTCTGCAATGGCTGTGTTAGGCTTGTTCTCGGAGGGAACTCTCCCTCTTTTTTCCAACGGCTAATTCAAACCCATCGAACGGCTTGTATCCCTGACTGAAAATGGAGGAGGAGGAGGAGGCAGCATGACACAGCAGGCACAATAAATTAAGACATGTGAATTAATCAATTTATGCTCTGTGCATCGGATCCTTGTATGTAATTGCCTGTGTTGACAAATTTTACAGGATTTGGAAATAGTTGCCTAGACTTGATCAGAAACTGGTGCTATGTTGCAAGATAACTCCTGGTGCTATACCTCAATATCTAGAATTCTCCATTTTTCTCTTATTTCTCTCTTACTGAGTTTTTCTAGCACCAGACAAAATTAATCCTGAAATGCAAAGGGTTTCTTTAAAAAAAACCAAGCTAAACTGATTTTAAAAGAGTCACCATACAGGGAAATATCTTCCACCTTCCAAGCCTGTGACCCACCTGACATGCACGTGCCGTCTCTCTCCTTGCAGTGCTAATGTCCGTATTTATTCACCTTTAAGTCCACAACAGGAGGGACTAAAGCTGGACACCGGGGGGGGGGAGGGCTGTTCATTAGCTGGTGAGAGCTGATTTGGGTTGTTAATTGTTTCGGGTGGATTTAGTCAGTTAATAGCTACTTTTAAGCTGCAGTATTAGGGATCTGGTTGAAGGTTGCTATGAGGAGTTGCAGTGCAGCGGGAGGCAGAGAACCACTAGCAAAGCCCCTTGGCTGACTGGAGAAATGGCTGGGGAAGGCTACCCTGGGCTTTTTTCAACCCTGCCTGTTTTGGTGGCGGCAACGGAAGCTCGGTGACTGGGAGGAGCAGCCTGCGGCAGGTGGCGAGGCTGGCAACGGTGTCGGAGCCGGGACAAGAGAGGTTGGCCGTCGCCTAGTGGCAGATGACCTGGGTGGTCCCTTGTGGATCGGAAGGCGACCGGAGGCATTCAAGGATTTCTATTCAGGCCTCCATCATGAAGCGTAACAGCTGCTCTCTGTATCCACAGGCTCTCTTGTTCAGAGTTGCAAATCCCGTTTTAGGGAGGAAGGAGTAACTAAATCCCCTACTAAATCTCCTCCTCTTGAGGTCTCTGCTCCGCAGAACACATTGCCCCAAAACCAACCCAAGCTTGCCTCAGACTTGATTCTTAATGGGCCATGTGATCTTGTAACCACAGTGACACTTGCAAAAATTTTCAAAGGGATTCAGACTGTGGTTTGAAATAAATAGGGCACTTTCTAATGTATTTCCCAACAGGGAAGACTTTAGTACAGGACAGACGGGACCTTGGAGGTGGTCAGTGTCTCAATGAGTGCAGTCACAATTCCTGCAGCCTTGCTGGAGGCTGTGGTACATCTTCCTACAGGATGCCCTCTCTTAATCCAGCACTGGTTGTGCTACTCAGGGATCTTTTCCAAGAGTTGGATGGTGGGTTTGCTGCTTCCCCCTTCCTGTCCTCCTGAATGTCTCGGCAGCATTCAGTCCAATCAATCACGGCACAGGAGCTTTCCTTTTCCAGACCTTTTACAAATGTTGAGGATAGAATCATTTAAATTTTCCTTTGTGGGCAGTTTCAGGTGGTGACTTACAAGTGAAGATGCGACAGGCTGCTTGCGTGGAGGGAATCCAGACCCCTTTCCCGTTTTTCAACCCGACATCTTGCTTGCTGCCCAAGTTCAACTTCAGACCTGCTATTCAGACAGTTCTTGGTTGGCCCAGCACTGTCCCTTAAGAAAGCGGGTCCGTGAACTGGGCTTTCCCTGGACACACGGCCACTGCCGGATGCACAAAGGATGGCTGGGCAGGAAGGCTTTGGGCCCCTCTGCCCCACTTGGGGCCTTGCCCGGAGTGTGAGGACTTTGTGCCTTCATCATCATCATCACCACCACTTGTACAAACGACTCTGTGTGTGCTCTACCCAGATCTGCCTCTGAAGGCCACCCGGGAGCGGCATTAGGCCAGGGCTTGCGGCTCTCTGCTGGCTTTGGAGGGCAGCCCTCAGGGCCGACTTGGACCCGCGGGCCTCCCCCCTCCCTCCCTCCCTGCGTAAAGGGAGACTCCACCATTCCAGGACAGTGGAAGGGAGGGAGGGAGGGAGGGAGGGAGGGAGGGTGGGTGGCCGAAGCCAGGAACGAGCGTTTTCACCCGAAGGCCCAAACAAAGGGCACAGCCTCACTTATGCCGCCCCCCCCCCAAAGGGTACAGCTTCCCAGAAAACACTAAGGTCTGAATTGTTCCCAATGCGTTTGGGAGGCCAAGCTCAGTTCTGCTTTTGTCACCGAGATCTGTGGACGTGGCGTGACTGTCACCTGACTGAGGTATAATAGAGATTGTTTCGTGTCTGCGGGGTGTCGGTTTGCCAGCCTGCACTGTGTCTGTTATGGTTTGTCACGGTTGTTTCAGTGTTACATTTGCCAAGTTTGTTTTGCTGTTTGTAGAATTACGCAAACCATGGACATTTCAGTTACTGTAACCTGCGAAGAGTCACGTGAAACTGGCAGCATACAAATTTAATAAATAAAAACAAACAGAAATGACTTCTATCTACACAGTGCAGATAGTACAAGCTTAATTCTTAAAACTCTGCATTTTTTAAATTCACTATTTTAAATTCACAATGAACTCAGAATTTGAATCTGAGGAATAAAATGAAATACATATTCAAAGATATGTATTGAAACTCATTTCAGCAGAAAGCAAAACCATTTTCAATTATATTCAGCATTTCTACACTTTTTTTTTCTTGGAAGGAAATTAACCAAAACATGATCTCAGTGCAGTCCTCATGTCTTTTGTGATTTCTGTTGGGTTGTTCTAATACCCAGTGTCACAAAAGGTTGCACAGGCTGACCCCCCCCTGGAGCGTACACAGTACACCTATATAATACTTATACCACAGATCCAGAAGTATCAGCTACAGGTTGAGAAGAAAACCGTCAAAGAGGAGGGGGAAAAAGCATTTTTGTTTCTAGAATTGGTACTAATCTGAATGCAACAAATGAATGGAGAAGCGAACACGCTCCAGGTGCAAACGGGGGATTATTTTAAAGGCCTTGTGCAAGGGAGGTGAGCCAGGCCGATGGCAACTTCGAGGTTTGCCAAGAGCGTTCAGCCGCCTCACCTCTGGAACCGCGGGCGTGCCCCCTCCCTCCCGTATCCTCCCTTTGGGCAAATGGATAGACGGCGTGACAGCGTTCCCTGGATAAACACTTACAGAAACATTTTTGTTCAAAGACCTTATCCGGGCATTATTGTATAGCCTATAATTAGATATCCCATAAGTAACTACAATTGGAAATAAAAGATTAAGTTTTGGAGCTGAAAAATGCCTCTGCTGATACAGATTCTCTGAAAAAACAAATCTAAAAGACCTCGAAAGAGGTTGTGATATAGCAAACTGAATAGCAATATTACATTTAATAAACCTATCTTATAAATGCATCCTGAAAAAATAAAGTCAAAAATCACAGTAGTAAAGCATGCAATTTTAAAACAATAAAAATTAAGTTCCATACTGTACAGTTAATTACAGAATAGCATCGTGATTTACTATTTTACTTTAAAATTAGCACTCTGAAAATTAATCCCACAATTACTTTTAAAAACACCCCGAAATAATACCACTGATTCTTGTGGCTAGCCGTTCCTCTCCTACGTCCACTCGTCGTCATCTACAGCAACTTAAGGGGCTCGCTGGGGCTTCCAGGCTGCTGTCGGTGTTGGAGGCCAGAGTCCGGTCAGTGGACAGTGAAGATGCATCACAGACTGATGGGGATGAAGATGGAGGCCGAGGGCCGCTGACCGTGGCTACACCTGTGCTATGAGAAACAAAGCAGCCCTTCAGCCACGGGGAGACCGGAGTTTCTCCTCCTCTAGCCGTTTCCTGGTGGCCTGCCATCTTGTTCCCGTGGTCAGGGAGGAAAACCTGCCCAATTCAGTTTAGCCCTGTCCTAAAGGCGTACCTTGAGAACTTGTCTGATGTGCCGGTGAAACCAGCAGGCCACGAGTTCCAGTTCTGCCTAAGCCACAAAGCCAGGTGGGTGACTTTGGGCCACTCTCGGCCCTCATCTAATCGCAAGGGTATTCCGTTAGATCGTACCAGATGGGCAGAAACGATCAGAGACTATGACTCTTCCCAACTTGTCGACAAGAGTGGAAATAACATTTCCCGCCTGGGGAATGGAAACAGACCTAGAGGGTTTCTGAGGACCAATAAGTACAAGCGGATCCTGCCAGCTAAACAGCTGCACAAGGGTGATTCAGGCTCCCATGTGTAAATACTATTGCCAATCTTCTTGCAGAGACCAAGTGTGCATTCCCATGGCATACAATTACTCTGATTCCCAACGTCAATATGGAAATTTACACATACAAAACGATATGTAGCTATCTACATATGAATAAGAGCAGGCACAATCTCAACATTCAGACAAGGCACTGCATATGTGAACTAAGGCTACATAAAAACAGCCTCTCCCCCCCCCTATCGGTGGCATTAACCAAAGAACACCTGCAGCAACTAACCTAAAGGAGGCGGCTGCCCACGTATGACTCCGTTCTTGGTCCTCTCCTCCAGATCCACAACTTCTTTGTAAATCAGTTCTGCAAATCAGCAGGTGAAGCGTTATCTGCAGAGCATGTCAAGCAAGCTAGAGCAGCAATTTCATCTGCAAGACAGAACTCCACTTATCGAGCAGCAAAGCCACAAAGCGAAAGTATCAGACAAGCCACACGATGCCCGTGCTGCTTCATGCTCCGATTCCGTTCTCCTTTAAAAACCGTGCAACCACCTGAGTGGGTGGGACTACGGTAGGAAATATAGGCCATATGGAACAAACAAAAGCTTCCTGGCACATGCAGAATATGGTAATTAATATTTTTTCAGGCTTTTTACGATTGTACGGATTAATGTTTCAGTCCAAGACAACCCACAGAGCACCTACAGAATTTCCTTTCGGAAGGTCAACCCATTCACCGGGAAAGGCCACTACCCAGCCAACGTGGCCAATCTATCCGGGGCCAGCCGTTCCACAAACACGTGGTTTATAATGGCTGGTTTCTCATTTTCCCCCTGGAGTTTGCCTCCATTTCTCCCAATTTTCGAACCGCTTCTCCCACCTGTGTTTGGGGCACTTTGCAGCATAGGAAGCTGGTTTCATTGTTACTTTCAAAAGAGGCTGGTTATTACTACTATTCAGGCCTTCTGGTCATAAATAAAATGATTATGATTGACTTATTATATTCAATCTTTTTTTCCAACTAACCCAGATAGCAGGGAAACAAGACATGGGTTCCCTCCGGTGTGGGCAGCCGCAGAATGGAACGCCAGGGAGGGCCCTCCCGCTGAAAGCCATGATGTTACAGGACAGGTAGCAGGTTTTCCACCTCCTTTGTGCTACACACACACACCCTTTCCCAACCTTGTAGTAGCCCTGAGAAACCCTCCATCCATCCATCCATCCATCATCCCCCTCCACTCTGTCACTGTTGCCTCCGTCTAGGTCACTGGTTGGTCGATGTTTAAAACGCCACAATCCAGCGCTCCTCCTGGCCTCCTTCCTTCCTTGCATCTCTACTGGCATCCAACTCGGCTTACGCTGATCATGAAAAACATTTATATCTCACCTTTCCATTCTTCTATTGTGTGCTCTCTTTCATCTAATTGCTTGTCTGGTATCTTTGGAGGAGGCTAGGAACAGAAGAAGAACTTAGCTAAAGGAAGCAGTGCGAACGAAATAACAGATACACCCGGTTTTAATAACAGGTATGCAGTAAGCCTAGCTTATTAACTTGCTCAAGTGACAGGCACCAGGGTGTAGTTCTATGCCATTCAATCAGCAATTATTTAAAAAGAGCAAGGTTAATTTTTTTTAAAGCAAGCAAACACAGACAATTTGGCTCTTCCGTCACTCTTTTGTAGACAAACCCCGCCCGCAGAACCCCCACCAGTTACACAGATACGGTTATACGGTTTGAGTTTCCGTCCTGCGGGGCCCCTCCAGCTGCGGCTCTGGGCCACACCCTGCCTCCCGCTTCCGCTATCCTTCCCTGCACAAAGTCCAGACTCCGGAGCCCAGGACTTACGGCTTCAGCTTCCGAGGGATCATACCAGACGTTAATGTAGGGGTGCTGCAGAGCTTCATCCACTGAAATTCTTCTTGAGGCATCAATCACCAGCATTTTGGACAACAAATCTCTTGCCTGGCTAGCTGCAAGAGCAAAGTTTAATACAGAATATAATTAAACATTTTGGAAAGTGATACGTAAAATAGGATAAACCCAGACCGATTACACCAGTCAGTAGGAGCCACAATCCATTTTTTTATGAATGGCTGATTTAGAGAGGAAGCCAGCCAGCCTCCAGAGAGAACAAGGAGCACAAATTTCCTCAGCTCCTGGAGATGTCCAGAGGAGAGAGGGGGGAAAACAAATCCCATTCCTGTTCAAAGTTGGTAAAAAAAACCAAAAAAACCCCCCCTGGCAACTAGACTCTGCTCTTGCTCGGTGGGTGCCCAGCCTCAGAAGTAGCCCCTGCTTTGCTTCCCTCAACTGGGGACAAAGCAGAGCGGCTGCTGCTGCCTGGGGCCCACGGCCAGGAGGGCCAAATTAAGCCCCCCCCCCTTACCCCCCGTCCAGGCAGAATTTCCCACCAATGAACGTCAGCGAGAGCTGAACCTGCACTGAAGTTCCAGGTGTGAACAAGACAGGCCAAGACCAGATCAAGGAGGGAGGTGATCCTCATGATCTACCATCTTAAATTGGTTACAAACCTCTGATAGTGAGACTGTAAATAATAAAAAATGACATTATTAAAGACGCAAGACCCTACAGTATTTGCCTATTAGCTCTGTAATGACGATCGTCTTGGGATATCGACCAGTTTACTCTTCCCCTTTGACTGTAAACCTGAATGGTGCTCCTCAGGAAGACCAGTCGTTTCCCACCCGGACTATCCTGTCCTTTCTTAATTGAAGAGAGGAGGAGGAGGAGGAGGAGGAGGAGGAGGAGTCCTTTCGTCCCGGTCGTTGTAGTCTCGAACCGAGGGGGGGGGGGAAGAGAAGGACACGCCTCAGTCAAAGAACCTGGATTTCAGCTGTAACAGACTATCGCAAAACAACCTTGCAGCCGCCAAAGCTGGGGCTGAGAGGATTTGTGGCTGGCTAGCTTCAGGAGAACCTCTCTAAATCCTTCCTCCCCCCCCCCCACACACACACTCGGAGCAACCAAGTGTCCCTCACCCAAAAGAGGGGGGGGGATGCTTCTGATAGGAAAGCGGTTCCAAAATGGGTTTCCTCTCGTCCCCAAAAAGGTTCCCTAAAACAGCAACAGGCAAAGCCTGTGTGGCCCATCAAGACCCAATAAAAGGATGTCTCCAAATCTACCAGGTAGAGCCAGCTGGCGCAAGACGGCGTACGTTCTGTCTCGCCATGAATCCAACCTTTTAGGCTGGGATGGTGGTGGTGGTGGTGGTGGTGATGATGATGATGCTGGAAGGGACCTTAGAGGTCATCTAGTCCAACCCCCTGCTCAGGCAGGAAATCCTATACCATTTCTTTCATTCTTTCATGTATTGGCTATGCTCTGAAGCTAGGATTTCAGTGTGAAAAAGAGCTGAAGGTGTGCCTTGGGTTCCTCACTGGAGGAAGTCAGGAAAGCCAATTGCTGGAAAAAATGGGATCCGGAGGGCGAAGGCCTTGGGCAGAGGAGGAAGTGAAGCAGGGCCAATAGGATCCAAAGCTTGCAGAAGCAACCGCTGTGGGATTCGTGGATCCATCCTGATTTCCAGGAAGTGAATCCCAAGAATTGGATCATGGGCAAGAAAGAAACCATTAGGTATAAGAGGATGTGGATGAATACGGCTAAAATTGTGTAACCGGAAAAGGAATATTTTCAGAAAATTCTAAAAAGAAGCACGTTAGAAGCCGGTTAAGAGTCTTATATATGAGAGGAACTAGGAGACGGGCACGCTTGCAAACTGCTATAGTAGAAGTAGAAAGAACTAGCTCTCTCCAATCTAATCATGTTTACGTGTATTCATACTTATCCTTCATTTTTTCAATCTTCTAAAAGTTGGACAGTAAGAATAGAATAGGCAACTGATAAAAATTAATTTTGTTTTTTCAGCTTTCTAGTTTTGATGGAAGCATGAATTAGTTGCAAACATGTCATGCCCCTACAACCTTGTAATTTTTTTTGCTAAAAGGATTTTTTGCTGGGAAAAAAATGCTATTTTAGGATGTATTAACATCCTACAGAGGCAATTATCCCACTCTGTGGTGAACAGGTCCCATTCGGAATATTGCGTCCAGTTTTGGCATTGAAAATAACCTTATCGACAAGCTGGAGCAAATTCAGAGAACTATCCTGGGGATTGTGGGCATTGGAGATTTTGAAGAAGAGACTG